ATAGTTTTTATGATTCCAAATATTATTGTTCCAATTATTATTTTCTCCTAACACTTTTTGGAAGAATTATGTTTGCTCTTGTGTGGACTAACATTTCAGGATAATAGTACTCCAGACTACTGAAGACTTCAAATCAAATTCAGCATATCATATTTTGTAACTTGAAGTCTGTATTTTTCACTTTATTGAGCCAGAGAGAGTATGATTGAAATTGAGCAACCTAGCACACACACACTGAGGGAGATCTTTAAAAGGTCAATTTTTTTTTATTGATCGTACGGGATGACCAAGTCAGCTATACCCCTCAGAGAGCAATGGAACAAACAGAAAAGTGAAGAGATTTTTCTAAGTCCTGATCGTCCAGATGAAATGCCAAATTCGCCCTGGACTATGTCCTCTGATTTCTCACTTTAAATTGTTCGTCCAGACGAAATGGCCCGTTCGTTCCAGGACGATCTTCTCTGGATTCATAACTTGAACTAATCGTCCAAACAAAATAACCAGTTCGTCCCTAGACGATCTCCTCAGAATCCTCACCCTAATCGGATCATCCAGATAAAATACCCAGTTCGTCCCTAGACGAACTCCTCTGGATCCTCACTCTGAACTGATCATCCAAATGAAATACCCAGTTCATCTCTGGACGATTTCCTCAAGATTCTCATTTTGAACAGTTCGTCCATACGAAACACACCATTCTTCCTAGGACGATCTTTTCGGGTTACAAGGTTTGTACTGTTCGTCAAAACGGACATGAACATTCATCCCAGGATGATATTCTCTGTTCTTTTAACATATTGATTATCTGCAGTTATGTTTCAGCGTGGCTTTAAAATAACTGTTCGTACCAAACGAACATAGTTCGTACGGGACGATGATTAGGTATGAAGTCACCTCGTCCTAATACACATAAGAGTTCGTACGTAACAATTTTACACTGTTCGTACGTACAAAATCATGATCATACGGGACGATCATGTACGTACATAATTGAAAAATAGCAGTTTTTGGACGGTTTTTCGTGTCTTTCATATAAAGGTCCTTTGTAAACTGACTTGTAATCTTTTTGGTCATTAGTCTTCGTGCTTACTGAAAGAAGTGTGAAGAAGAGAGTGAGAGATAGTGTTTGAAGGAGAGTTCCTACCTTTGGAGCATGAAGGATTTGCTTGGTACTCAAAGGTAAGGATCTCAACTTTGTGAATTATAATTACTTCACTCTTTTCTCTTGTACTTCTAGATTTCTTTTGAGAAGATCTTTCAAGAAGATTCGATTCTCTACCGACACTTGGAGAGTGTGAAAGGATGAAAGGTTCTCTGCCTACACTTGGAGATTGTGAATAGTGGGAGGTACTCTACCTACACTTGGAGGGTGTAAAAGGACGAAAGGTTCTCTTCTTACACTTAGAGAGTGTGAACAGTGGTAGGTTCTCTGCCTACACTTGGAGGGTGTAAAATGATGATGATTCTCTACTACACCGAGTAGTGGTGGAAGAGAGTTTTGTAAAGGCTTCTCCGCCTGGCTGTGGGGGCAAAAGGAGAGACACTATTGGTATTAGTGCAATACTCGGAGGGTGGCTCCGAGGAGTGAATGTAGGTCGTGTTTGACCGAACCACTATAAATCTTGTGTCTTTTTTATTTTCCGTTACTTTTATTCTGCTTTTTTACTTTAGTTTTTTCTATTTGAAAGCGTGGTTAAACTTTTTATTGGTTTAAAAAGAGGATAAGTTTTTTTAATAATCAATTCACCCCCCCCCCCCCCACCCTCTTGGTTAGCTGCTGGGATATAATATTAGGTCTAACAATCTAATTCATATTAAACAAAGTTTCATCAATTCTAATCATCTCGATCATTTAAGATGATCAATACAAATCATGTCTAAATTCATCCTGTGATTAGGGGATTAATTATGGTTAAATTTTTCAATCCGATCGTCCAAGCCGATCTGTACATCGTACAGGACGATGTTTGCTGACATACTTGATTTTCCTAAATCATCCAAGCTGAACTATCATAATTTTTCATCTAATTATCCTGGACGATCCACAATATCGTCCTCGACGATCTGCATATTTGTGTACTAATTAGCCTAGACTATCCAAATATCATTCAGGACTATCAAATCAAATTATGCACATTGTACTAGACGATTCTGCGATCGTCCAAGATAATTCTGGGCGAAATTGAGTTTATTGGGTTTTCGAAAGCTCTCTTTTTAAGCACATCGTACGGGACGATCATGCGATCATCCTGGATGATATTTGGCACCGAAATTGAGTTTTGAGGATTTTTTAAGCCCTTTTTTTAAGCATATCATACGGGACGATCCGGCGAACATCCTGGACGATAAAGCTGGTTTGGTGCATTTAAGAGCCTTCTTGGAGCTCTTTTATTTAAGCTTTGTCAAGGCACTTGATATGTGTCTTTGGCAGGGTGCAATATGAAGTGATTTTGTAAGGGCTTCTCCGCCTAGCTATGGGGGTTAAAGGAGAGACACTGAGTTTAGTGCAATACTCGGAGGGTGCCTTCGAGGAGTGGACGTAGGTCAAGATTTGACCGAAACACTATAAATCTGATGTGTTCTTTCCTTTATTATTTCCGCATTTAATTTTGTTGCAATTAACTACTTAGGTGAAATCTTTGTTTGGTCTTTATACTATTGTTTCAATTTGTTTTCGCTGCAAGATTTTTCACCCTCCTTCTTTGTAAGCCTCGGGACTAGTTCAAAAGGTCTTAACATCCCTAACGAACTTTCCAAGTGCCATCAGAGCACTTTCAGATGATACTCTGTCGACACTTGGTGGGTGTGAAAGGATGACGGTACTCTGTCGCACCGGGGATTGGTGGAAAAGAGGATAATTGTAAAGGCTTCTCCACTTTACTGTAGGAGAAAAGGAGAGTCACTTTGGTACTAGTATAATACCTTAAGTGGGAGTCTTTAAGGAGTGGACGTATGTCTAGTTGGACCGAACCACTATAAATTTCTCTGTTTTTATTTTTACGCATTTTTATTTTTCTGCACATTTTTTTTGGTTGAAAAGTTTTTATTTTGTTAAAACTTTTAATTGTGAAAAAAGTATAAAATGGTTTTCTACAAAAATTCCAAGAGATTTTTTAAATTACCAATTCACCCTCCCCCTCTTGGTTAGCATTGAGACAATTGCGTTAGGTCTAACAAACTATATGGACTTTCAAGTTTTCCTCGAAGAGATCATTCTATCACTATGTCATCTTTAATATTTATGATTACTGGTGTAATTTTGTAAAGATCGTCAATTTTGTGTGATCTTTGATAAATGTTTAATATATATGATGTGTGATCTTCAATCATGACCTCTCCATACCATATGATAACAATTAAATTGAAGAAGTATATGAATAAAAACTTTAAAATATATTTAGTTTTTTTTTGTTAGACTTAAGTGTTTACTCAAGAAATAGTCAACCTTTGGGTCTATTTGAAATAAACACTTAATAGTTTTGTTATATGTATGTCAACCTTTGTTCTTGATAGTTGTAGGCCATCTTTAGGTTTATGCATCATGTATTTAAACACATTGTTTATGTACTCCTTATATTTTATTTTACATTTACTATATATCTTATTCTTGTTAGTTAGGCATATTTTCCTTCAGTACTATTAACCCCTCCTAAAATTTTCCAAATCCTATAAGCTGGCAATGTGGAAGTTGACAACAGTCTTAGGAAATTGGCCAAGTAATATTTTAGATGTTTATTGTTTATATTTAGGTGTAAATAATCAACTCTACATTAATTGATATGATTATCTTTCTTTGAACCTCATCCAAACCATTCAACCAAGCTTTCTCATCATATTTAGATGAAATCGTGATGACTAAATCCATGATGGTTCAACCAACCAAATTCTGGGTGATGACATAAAGCATAAAAACTATATATAAAAAAGTCCTTTAACTCTTTATAGCCATATTAATATAATCAAGCTTGACTTCAACAAACATAAATTTTCTTAACTACTTTGATGCAATCCAAACTCTTTGAATTAGTCTTTAGCTAACTAATTGACTATTACTCTTGATCTTAACATGCATCCAAATCCTCCATTTAATGAGCTTTAAACTCACCTCAAGTGATTTTGAGGTATACACTTTTGCCTCCTCACTACTTTACACATGTTTTGAAAGCTCTCACGTACTTGCTCAAATGTACCTATACCATGAACTTTCAAATATTGGTTCGTCATCAAGTGATAGATAACAAATAAACCATTTTCCTTCTAGGATACAAGAACACCATCTCTTTATTAATTGATGAGCTACTACATCTTCTTGCTCTACTCTTTGATAATAACTAACAAAATATCTTGGGATATAAAACCATCATTTAAGTACTCAAACTCTCATAAAAAGTATATGAGGGACGATGAACTAAGGGTTGTAGACTATTTTTATCAGCCATTAATCTTGCTCAGCAACAACTTGCGTAAAAAAATTGAAGTATAACAAGAGAGGCCATTGTATTATGGAAAAGGAAATGAAAAAAATTGAAAGATTTTAGAAGCTCAATATACATAAATATATGTGGTTATCAATGTTCATCCAAATACTTGACTTTGTATTATACATGCATGAATCCCCCTTCAACCAATTCCATACAACTAATAGAATTCTACACTACAAAGCATAAAATTTTGATGTGATTCATCAGTAATATCAACTAACATAGGCTTTGCTTATAAAGCAATGTTTCACTGACCCAAAATGCAACATTTATCAATACATAAGTGAATTTTGACTTGGTGTTAAATTTTTTTTTTTTTTTAGTATGAAAGGTATTGCTTAGCAACATTATACTTTGTTTTTCAAATCAATGCTTTAAGGGGCCTAATTAAAAGAAAAAAAAATCAACAATTTTTTCGAGGCTTCAAGTGAATAGCATATTCTAAGAAAACCAAAACCAAACTATTTAAAGAAGGCAATTATTCAAATCACTATGAGGATAACAAGAGAAAACTAAATCCTCTTCTTAAACATTCAAACACAAAAATAATTAATTCCTTGCTTATATCCATAGGTTGAATTAGTGTAGTGAGTCTATTGTCTTGCTCAGTTCCTCTAGCTTTTTCATCCTCAATCTCTCGCTCTCACTCACAAGCTGTCAAAAAATTTGTAAAATATCAGATAAAAATGAAACTATGATCGATGAGTGGTTCTTCATAATAAAGAAGTGTATCATGTCAAATACGTGGACAAAATATGTACTTATCCAACATGTGGTCGACACATGTCAAACAAACTATTAATGTGTCTAATTAAAAAAAAAATTAACGAAGACATGTTTTTAATAGCAAATTTTAACCTTGCAAGTATATTATATAAATAACTTTAGACATATATTTCCTTTGGTTTTAAATTATGTTAATTGAACTATTTAATACCTACTTAACACTAATTTATTTTTCTTATTCATCTCTATGTTCCTATAATTTTTATAATATTTTATTTTTTCATAAAAAAAATTCTAAATCGAGCTAACAATCTATAATATCTTATGATCATCTCTTCTTCAATTAAGTTTAAGTTATTTACTAAATTTAATTGCATGAGCAATTAAAATAAATTTATTACCCTATAAATTTATTTATATTTATTTAATTTGCATACTTACCATTTTTTTTAAATATAAAATTATAATGAAGTTTTCGAATCATATTTATTTCCTATATTTTTAATAAGAGCCATTTGAAAATTAAAAACAAAAATATTTAAAAAAAATTATTACCTCCATCAATTTATTGACTAATTGGCCCTTCTCTTTGTTCTTCTCATTGAAGGCATCAACGGCATCTTTATATTCCTTCTCCTTAAATAATGAAAGAGAAACAATTATAAAAATGATTTATAATTAATGTTCAAATTTTTTATTCAGTTATTCATTATAAATAAATTATCAATAAATAAGAAAACCTTCTTCAGGCAATTCTGTCCATGGGACTTTAGCTCACGATTAACTGTATCAATCCTCTTCCTAATTGCTCCAACTTCCTTTCTGGTAGGATCAGCCATTGTTTCCAGCTCCTGTAATTTTCTGAATTTTCATTAGAAAATAAGAAAATAATATACAGTTTTTTTAATTAGAGGGATTTAAATATATAACACTTAAAATTATGTTTTTTTAATATGTAACACCTTAGACTACTTATTTACTTAAACTAAAAATGTTGTTTCTTGCCTTTGGCTTCTCAAAATGGAAAAGTATTCTGTGCGGTGTTCAGACATGTCTGGAAGTCAATTCCAGCGCGCCACACCACCCAATGCATAGTGCATTAGATGACATGGCATGTCTGAATTAGCCTCCGGACGCATCCGAACACCGCACAAATTAGTCTCTCCATAATGAGAGATCCTAAACGCGAAAGAAAGAGGTGATGAAATCATGGCGGGATCTCGTTTGAGAAAGGCATCAACAAGATCGGTAGCGTGTGAACTACGAGGGAGGAAGAAGAGGTGATCGAGAAAGTCATGATGGGATCTCACTCGGAAGGGCATCGGGAGAATCAATGGCGTGTGCAGCAATGGAAGTTAATGTCAAATTTGAGGATGGGGATACTTTTCTTGTTATTTGAGGAAGGTATAATATTTAGTGCTATATTTGTAAATAGATAGTTGTAGGTTTTACAAATAATAAATAGTATATTATTAAGTGTTATCTATGTGAAGTAGATGTAATTAAAACATATTTATTTGATCTAAAAGCTCTACTTACAGCTCGGATTTCTGCCAAACGTTTGGATTCCTTTTCTACTCTGCCCAACTGAGAGAAAACCTTTTCTCTCACCTCAGTTTTCTTCCTTTCAATCTCTTCCTCTTTTGCTCTGAATGCAGAGAGAGCTGATCTCGGCATTTCCTCCTCATCTTCTCTCTCTTCATTCGCAGGCATTTCTATATAGATGAGCTCAGAATCCTTCACACGCTGCTGCTGCTGCTGCTCTCTCACTACTCCCTGCATCTCTCTCCCTCACACTCTTTCTCTCTCTCCTTGTAGAATGTTTAGCTTGTGCTCTCCAACATCTTATTTCTTCTTCTTATCAAAATTTTATCTTCCAACCAAAGATATAAAAAACAATAGGTACAGTAGAGTGACTGTGAAGTTCATTTTTTTCATTTGCCAAAATTTAAAAATATTTGGGCTAATTACACATACATAATAAACTTGATTATTTACAAAACTAACATCCTTTTATTTTTATTTTTTAAACTATCATCCAAATATCAAAATTCATGACAAAACCCCCAACCTATATTTTTCACTTTTATCAAAATTCTAGTAGTCTAACCATGACAAGCATAAATGGATAACTTTAGTGGTTCAAAAGCATAACAAGAGTGCAATTTTTGTAAATATTTAAATTTAGAATATTATTTATGGAGATAAAGACCAAAATGATTTCCTTATTATTTTTAAAGGATCAAATTGACTATTTAAAAGTTTCGTTTTAGTCCTTTGACTTTTAAATATGCATCTAATGATCCCTTCCGATGGCTAATTTTGTTCCTATTTAAAGAGCAAGACACCAAGTTGATATTTCTGTACAATTGTGAACTATTTTGATCACTTAGAAAAAGTTAAATGATGAATTTAATTTTTTTTATAATATATGTAATTTCCCCTAAATATGTTGCTAATTTAAAAAGCTTTAAATTTCCTCCTTAAAAAAAAAAAATTCGAAGAGAAGGATTAAGCATCAATCCTAATCTTATTATGGCTTCGTTTGGGACAACTTTCTTACTGCTTCTTCAACTAGCTTTTCAATATAAAAATTTTAATTTTTGGACAAATTTTAAGAAACAGTAAAAAAGTTGTATTAAACGAAGCCTAAGTTCAGCCTATAAATTTGTACTTTTTGTGCTTTAATTTTGAATTTTTATGTCTTTGAAATAAGAAAATCTATCCAGAAAACAGTTCAGGTGTTTTGTAAATTTAGAATTTAGCTTCCCAAAAGTCTGATAGCCACAAACAAGCCAATGTTTTGGTGGTATATGCATTTCAATGTTTGGTGTCACAACAATTCCCTTAGTTGGTAAAATGGTTATTTTCTAAAATTTTCTTGGAAAGTGAAACTAATTTAAGATTTTGCTTGGAATGCCTGTAATTGCCTATAAAAATAGCTCTAAAAAAATTTATGGCCGCAAAAAAATTGTGAAGAAAAGATGAAAACGATAATCAAATGGACCTGTATAACAACTGTCTGAGAAGCAAAATTGTGAAAAAGCTGCTTAAATAAATGGATTAACAAACTGTTAACTTTGTTAGCATTTTTTTTTTTCTTCTTGAGAATGTACATTTTATATTTTAATGATTTTTATATCATTTTTTTCTGATGAAAGGTGCTTGGGACTCAAGTCTTGATGGAGTAGAGGGAAAGATGGCATTCCTGTACTACAGCAGGAAAAGTAGAGACTTAGGTGCTAAGGCAAAGTAGAGGGTGATGTGCCTTCACCAACCATTACCATTTCTTGGGCTTCCCTTCCACTTTTCTTCTTTTTATTCTGATTTTCATTTTTCTTCTGTTTCCTATTAGGATATTACAGCTATATTAATCTTCTTCTTATTCTGACTTCTATAACTATTTTCATTTTGAAAAAGTCTGATTTCTAGTAGAATTTTGAAGTTGAATCATTCTTTGATTGAAGATTATACTTGAGAAGATCAATATCTAAGAGATCAATTACCTAAAGGAGGATTTTTCTCCTGAAAAGGGAACTCCTTTAAAAATTATTATAATATCAATCATATTACTTGAAAACAGTAGGAAGTGTGCAAGCATGGGCGGATCCACCCTAGTCTTAGGCATTTTGCCCCCCCTCAAAAATATTTTTTGCCCTAATTTTATCAATCCTAGGCATTTTTGTCCATCCCCACCCAAAAAAATTTTTTTGCCCACCCTGAGAAAAGAAGCTGGATCCGCCCCTGTGTGCAAGGGGAGTAACTACAACTTGTGGTTCAAAGAGGAGTTGAACTTGAGACCTTCGAGGCAATAGGGTTAGTCGCCAAGCCTTAAGACGACCCAATTCACACCCTTCCAATTGATGCATCATTCAATCCATCTTATAAAAATGAACTTGCCAATAATCTTAGTTCAAACACTGAAGTTTTTGCTCGATATGTTACAAAAATGCATAGACTAGGTATTAATATTGAATGACACATACTTGACAAATTAGCTAGGTAGACAAATAAAATAATTGAAAATTTGCAATATGACTTGCCATAACTTATTCACTATGAAGATCAAAGGTTTCTGGAGATCAGCTTCATTAGAGAAGTATAAAACTCATATTGGACTTATAATATAATATGATTCAATATAATGATAACTAAAGAATATGTATGGACTTCACAAACTAAAACCCAACTTGCCCAAAAGATAGGTATCCTCTATCATGAATAGACACACTAATTTTTCAATAGTCAACTATATCGTTCAAAGGAACATGCTAAGGGAATGAATGTATTATTTGCCCTTTAAGCACTTTGTGAAAAAGTGAATTTTACTACCTCAAAAGATAGAAATAATATACTATAGAAATTTAAAAAGCAAATACAATTTTCTTTATAATATTTCCTAGAAATTTTCACATGCCTAGCTAGTATAAGGCACTATACAATATTGATTTATTATTGAGTTCAAATTTTCTATAATAGTAAACTTATATGGTTTATTATATCCTAGGATGTAAACCTTTAATCTTTTATTCTTAAAGTCAGTATTCTTTTTTAAGGTTTCAATAACAATCTATGATAATAGGAGTTTAAGAACATAAAATCAGATATGCTTAACTTGAGGATAGAAAATATGTTAAATCCAAAGAAAAATATGAGCACTTGATTCTAAAAAACTCAAAGATGCTATAAGAAAACTATCATATATTAGGCCTATAAGCATTTAAGGAATATACCCTTATGTTTGAGTTTGTCTAATTTTAGAATATAAGACAAGAATTTCAAAGCCATTATTAGAGAGCTATTAAAGTGAGAACTTATAAGATCGCAAAAAAAGAATGCTAACATTGAGCTTAGATTTATGTTTATGTTACTACATTACTACTAAGTTGTGACTCTCAATCTCCATTTAATGCAACTTAAGTGATTGCAATGAGATATACACATTAACCTCAAAGAGTTTAGGGATGTATGTTCACTTTGAACTTACAATTTCACCTAAAACAAAAAGCTAATTAAATCGACCTAAATGATTTAAAGGCCACATCACTGAAGACTAATTATAACTATAAGATTGAGATAGTTATTATTATATAAGAGATAAGACTTATAATACTAATCTTGAAGCATGATTTTCTGTATAATGCGACTATAAAACATACATGTCAATGAAATATTTGACTTCAAATATCTAGCCTAATATGAGATAGAGCATTAACTATTATGAGATTAGTGTGGGCTCCAAAAATTCGGCCTCGGCCTCAACCCGCTTTTGCATTTTCTTTTTCGGGGGGGGGGGGGGGGGGTTTTAAAAAAAATGTTTTTGCGGCAATAATGTTTCAGGGTAAATTTTGGAAGGCATCTAGATGGTTTTCTAGATAAGATAGTACCCAGAGATTTCACCCTCATTTTGCGAGGACTTTATGATATGAGTTCAGGTTTCTTATAGGCGCAAGCCCCTATAGTTATTTACCCCTCCCAATCACGAGATAGAACTTTTGATTAAGGCTAGTAGTCAATCAGATATGTACAGAGTACATGTTATCTGGCATATAGTAGCAGCATGGGTTTGGATTTGAAAATTTGAAAAGTTTGATATTTGAAATTGGAAATTTCATCATCTTGCACTTAAAGAAAATGGTGGGGGAATGGATGATGGACCCGATCAAGTTCCCATGGTTTTGTTGTCCCGGGCCATCATAGTCCCCGTTCTACTTAGTTAGAGGAGGTAGTCGATCCAACCAGATAGAATGATCCTTGTCGGCAGCCATGGGTTGCTTCGTCCAAGGGAACCTTATAGACCTAAGTGGGATGTTTGTCTAACGCGATAAATTTGAATCCACCTTATCTAACAGAGAGCTTTATACCCTATCGATCATATCTTATTTATTCATATCTCAAGGATTTGATGCCACTAAGGAACGTATTGGCTCTGGTAATAACCGGTATGTTATGGTGCCATTTGGCGGCAAAACCACTCGATTCAGAGGGCCCCAGGTCATAACTGTTTATTCTGTGGTGCCATTTAGCAGCAAAATTGTCAGTTAGATGACACGTACCACGTCCTTAATGATAATATATTATTTGAGAATGGATCATAGTAATATTTTTGACTAGGCATTTGGCTCTATGTGAGTTGAAGTAAATTTTAATTTGTCCATCCCGACAAACTATTACAGAGGGTGGATGAGTTTTACTTTAAGTGATGATGGATTTATTTCAGTTTTAAATATTTTGAATTTTGAATTTTTTAGATTTTTGTGGGTTTTTGGGTGAAACTTGGAAGGCATTTGAAAGTATTTGTAAACCCCTCCGGTTGAGATAAACTTTCAACACGTCCATCATCAGGGTATGAGGGGTTATTTTCATTTACTGTTTGAACCCTATGGACTCTATCGAGTTGTTGACAGAGAATCAGGTTTCGTAGGTTTTATGCCTTTGTTTGTGAATTTTCTTTATTGAAAGCCTTTAAGGCCTAATATGAATGTATAAAATAAATATCTCGGTCGATCTCATGACAGTATATTTATTTAATGGTTCAAGTCGTGCCAATTCCTATCTACTTGCATAGAAGGAACGGGCTTAAACTTGGGTTTATTTATGGACCCGCATAACATCTCTAGACGTCATGTGTATACCCACAACACACTAGCCGAGGCCCATGCAGGTATTTGGTGGCATTTTATAATTATTTGTTGAAACTTTTTTACTCATATTTACCCGCTTAAGAGGATTTGGTTCAAATTCATTGACCTGCATATCATCCCTAGATGTCACATGTGTTCCTACAACATGCTCGTCAGGGCCCATTAGGGTGTATGATTTTGCTTACCCCTTTTGTGTACCTATATATATATATATATATATATATATATATATATATTACAGTGCATGTGCGAGGGTATTTTTAAAATATTTATAAATGCATTCTATCTGCTTGCATGAAAATTGCGGATCCGGTGGCGTGGCGTTATACTAGTTATATGCCCATTTTGTATAGGTAGATTGTCATGCACTAGTTGCTTTCTGAAGGTGGATGTAGTGCACCAATGAATCTCCTACTTGGGTCATAGGCATTTTCATTTGGGCTAATCATGATGCATTTTGCTTGTGGATAGTACATATGATATATAGGAGTCTTATATAGTAGCTCGTATGAGTCATATATAATACCCAAGTATTCAAAATAAATGTAAGTATAAATTTTTATGAATGTTAATGTATTTTAATTAAAAATCTATTTTCAATTTCAATCAAAATATGAATCAAATGGTATAAATATATAGTTATTGATTTAATTATCGTTTATGTTAGTAGCAGTTAATTAGATATTTATTAGTAATTAAATTTTGTATATCCAAGCATTTTTTTTAGACAATTGATTGCATAGTACTTCTATGTCTTGCAAATAGATTAATTAGGATTAGTGACATAAAGCATTTAATTCACGTTTAATGGGCATTTCCTTCACTGTCCAGTGTTATCCTTATAGATATTTTTTTTTTATTTGCTGTAGCTTTCCACTTAGCCACTCATGCATGCGTCTGATGTAAATCAAATGGTTGATATGGTATTGAAAAGGTAGTGGAAAATGTACTACATTAGAATAATATTATTTAATAAAACATAGAGCATTAAAATTAGAATATCAATTCCTTTTATCCCCTCCCTCAGCCAAAACCTAGAAGTCCTGAAACCTGGAGGTAAAGCAGTGGGTAAGAAAATAGGGAAACTGGGAGGATTCGATTGCTGGAAGGCAAAATCAGCAAAGTTGCTGGAAGGAGAAATCAACAAAGCTGTTGGAAAGCTGTTGGAAGGAAAAAAAATTAAGTGTTGAATCAACCGTTGATGTAGAAACTGCAGTTTGGGTATTTCTTTCTCAGGTAATGAGGAATATAGAAAGGCAATACTAGTATTTCTCAAGCCATATTTTCTATAGAGTAAGTATATGCAAATTAGTGAGGAATTTTTGAATTTCTGAATACAGGAATACATAAATTGTGGATTTCTGTCAATCATTTTGAATGTTAAATGTGGAAATCAGTAGAAAAAAAAGGGGTAAGACTATTGTTAAGTTGGCTGATGGAAAATTTTTTTTTTCTAAAATTAATGTTGCTGAAATCAGTTAGTTATGACTCAGTTTGTGATGGTAAACTTCTAGAAATATGAAAGAAACATAGGAAGGAAAGAAAAGAATCAGATTACTATTTAATGAGGAAGAATTTAGTTGAGGTAAGTAGTAAGATATTCATATAGCTTGTTCCTTTATTTATTTATTTTTTGTACAGGTGCAAATAAAGAATTGTATGTTGTAGGTAGTGTACAAAAGAAGAAGAAAACAGGAAGAACGAATCCCAAGTGAGGTGAGATACCCAATGATGCATAAGAAATAGTAACAATTTTATAAATCTTCAATTTGATGTTTTTATCATGTTTATTATTTCCTTTCTCATGATAGCATGTTTTTCTTTTTCAAATAGTTCAATTGCTTCATATGTGAATTACACATGTACTAATTTCAATTTATATAATCGTTGGATATGATTATGACAATATTCCTGAAGTGAAAGAGAGTATAAGTCATATGTTGGGGGATAAGCCTGTTGAGTCTAGTAATTAGGTTGTTAAGCCTAAGTG